ATATGTTGTAGAAAGGATGAATGTGCAGAAAAGCTGTGGAGCCCTTCAATTGGGGGAAAGGGAACCTCCCCCTACCCTGGTAACATCTCCGACCTCTCCCATCCCTCTGCCCTGTGCTGCTGCATCACACCACTCTCCCTGCACACCGATAGTTTCTCAGATGCAAGTGCAGCTTGGGGAGGGACTCACCAGGTCACCCAGCTTCAGAGGCTTCTTCTGAGCTAGGTCATACCAGGATCTCTCTCTCCCAAGAGAGTGAAAGAGGCACCTTTTTGTACTGATTAATATCATGCTAAATTGAATCTAGATCATCCTACAAACGCTTGTTTCCCACAGAGACTGAGGGGAAAGCCCAGGAAAACAAGCTGTAGCATTATTCTCTAAATACTGAATGCATTGTTCACCTGCAGTGACATGTGGAAGGTCTAGAGCCCTTCAGGTCCTTTGATCGAGATCCCTAGGAGCATTAAGGCACCTAACCCACACGGACAAGTAAGGGAAGGAGGAGAGGTCAATTCACTTGAGGATCCTGGCTTCAGTGCGCTAAATTCTCGTCTCCAGCAGGGAGGCGTGCAGAATCAGGACTGTTTGTGTTCTGCGCTCGTCCTTGCTGACAGCCATCACAATGCCTCTCTTTGATAACAGGGTGATGAGGGCGTCGTGGGAGTCCGAGGCCCCCTTGGCATGAGGGTGAGTGTTAACACAGGATGGAGGGCTAGTTTAATGTCATAGACGACAGTGGCCCCAGGGCTGGCAAAATCCCTGCGTGCAATGGAAAGATTAAAGTGGTTTAATGCTTTCAGTGGAAAATAGAGATTCTGGGAGCCTGAATTCCAATGGTTTGCTGGGATTGTGAGCATAAATCCTGTAGGTAGATATAAAACATAAGCTGTCATGCTGAGCGTAATTACTTTAGGCTCTTGGCCATTTGGCTGACTCATCTACAAGATGCGTTTGAAGTCGTTCAAAAACAGCACTCCCTTTCTTTTCTTCTTTGTCATGTCTGCATGAATGTCAATGTCTTATTCCTTTTCCCTGATGGAGAATTGAGTCCGGGAAGCCACAGATCGCAACCAGTACTTCTACGAACACTTTTTATTTATTAAGCTGTTATCATTAATAGAATCAAGCTGTTATTATTAGCACAAAATAATAGCCTCAGAAGGCCAAGGGTAACTGCAGTATCTAGATTCATCCTTGGTCTCATCCTTGAAGTCCTGAGTTGTGTCTGGGATGCAAATATGGGCAGAAGCCTAGGGCAAATTGCGCCTGTGTAATTCAAATGTGCTACCCCTTACTTCTTCTCATGCTGCTCTTAATGAGAAGGAAAGAAGACTACAGGCTTCGGCGTGGGTCCCTCAGAGCAGCAGTAGATGGCTTAGCCTGTCCTTGGAGACAGCTCTGCCTCTGAGCGGAGACTGCTCTCTCCTAACACCTTCTGCCCCTCTGGTATTTGTCTTAAAATGTTGTTTTATGTTCTTGCAGGGTCTAAAAGGCCTCCCAGGTGTGAAAGGCGAAAGAGTAAGCAACAGCTATCTTAACTAGAAAGTGCATAAACGGGGTCCTCAGGAGGAGGGCACCTTTGTGGGAAGCCTTTTTCTGCGGCAGCCCATGCTACTGGTGCCACTGCTAGGACAATAGGGAGAATCCCATACTATCTCTGGGAGTGGCTTGGGAAGGGAATTTGACCAGCACATGTGGAAGTGAGAAGTGACGTTAGCAGCCCCGTGCAAGGGATGGGCTGAGATAAGGACTGGGTGGATGTTATCCTTCTGCAGGCCTTGGTTTTCTTTGGAAGGAAACTTGGGACTTTGGACAGAAAGGGGCCCCTGGTGCACTCCAGTCAACCCCAAACATGCAGGACTGCGGGAGCAGGACTGGGGGAGCATTTCTGAATACAGCAGAGGCAGTGTAGGCAGAATGATGACCACTTGCCAGCAACAAGTACCTTTTCATTTGCATCCAGAGCAGGAGACCCGTCAGTCACCTTCTGCCACATCCTGCTTGCATCTCTAGGAGAAACGCAGTGCTGGGGAGAGTGAATTTTGTCCACAGGTTGAGGGTGTGCAGTGGAACACCTGGGGGGAATCTGCATACGGCAGCATAACTCAGAAGCAGTTTGAGTGCACTTTCAAAGCCTGCTTCGTCATCCACCCGCTCTCCTGTCCCCACCTGGTCCTTGCAGCCTTCACCTTCTCCCGCTGTCACCACGCTAGTCTTGTGTATTGGGAGTGATTAGGAGATGCCATCAGGAACGAGTCCTTGCCTTTCAGCCTCCTATCCCATGTCCTGCATAATAAACCTTCAGGAAGAGTTAACATTTTGTACACTTTCAATAGAGGATGCGAAATTTCAGGCTGAAAGTTGGGAAATCCTGTATCATATGGGATGCTTTTCAACCTGAGAAGCAGTTTTGCATCCCTGTGGGGAGGCGCAGTGTGGGGAGGTTCTGTCCCTAGGGAGGTCGAAATCTAGTTATAGCTCCGCACTGTAGACATGCTGAGCATAGAGTCAGCCAAGCCACTTCAGTCCCCTGGGTCTTTATTTTTTGTCCATGCAATAGATCCTAGCTGTGTGCAATCTCCTGTGGTAAACTAATCAGTGTGCAGAGTGCCCAGAGGAACTGACTTCCAACTGTGATATATCTTACTGGCTTGCATGCAAAGCAGTGTACTGAGCAACAGAACAAGAGTGAGTAAAAAAGGAATCACTCACTGTATTTTTTTTCTTTCCTGTGTTTAGGGTGATCGGGGACTTCTGGGACCCAAGGGAGAAAGGGTAAGGACATGCCAGGTTGTGGCTTTCTGGGGAAGATGGGGTAAAAGGCTTACAGGATTTTATAATCACCAGTGAGCAGATGAAGAGTTATCTAAATGATTCAGTGACCTGACAAGATAGAGCTGAAAATGTTAAAAATATATATGCTTTCAAATATCTGGGATCTTAGCAAGTGTACAGGATTCATATTGTTAGACGTGAGTGAGCGTAGCCAATGTGGGATGAAGTGCTGAACGAAGATCCCAGGTGGCAGTATGCCAAGGCCTTTCATCTAAGAAAACTTTAAACCCTACCTTTGATCAGCAATGGGAACAGTGTTGTGGGTAGCAGGCGTGTGCCTGGATCAGGATCCCTTTGCTAAGGAAACGTGCAGAATTTGAAGCCACCTCTGTCTGGAAGCAGTACCGTACTGGGAATTGCTCCGTGGTGAGACCTCGTTTTAAAATCACAGAAAAATTCAGCATGGAAGGGGCCTCTGGAGACCTCTAGTTCAACCTCCGCTCAAAGCAGGACCAGCTACAAAGTCAGATCAGGTTGCTCAGGGCCTCGTTTTCAAAACGTGTGCTTCTCTGTGCCCCTATTCCACTGTTTGGCCACCCCTTGGTGAAGAGTTTTTTCCTTATATCTAATAGGAGTTTCCCTTGTTGCAGCTAGCGCCCATTGCCCTTTGTCCTTTCTCTGTGCACCTCCAAGAAGAGTCTGGATCCATCCTCTCTATAACCCCCATGTAGGTAGTGCAAGACAAAACTTAGATGCTCCCCTTCTTCTTGAGGTCCTCCACTGGGCTCAATCCACTCTGTCTATGTCTTTGTTGTACTGGACCCAGTACTTCAGGTGGAGTTTGCCTCACAGTTTTGAAGGAATCCTACAGTCATCACCACCACTACCAACAACAACAGAAAATAAGTCATTCTGGCAGTTATTTTCTGGGGCACGGGAATGTGTCCTGCGAATTAAGGGAGGAAGTGAAAATGTCCAATCGTTCTGGTATAACCAGCTCGCCCCAAAGCACGCTACAGTCTTAAAAAGCCTGAGTTTGTTCGTAGCAGGTAATGTGAAAATAACTCCCAAAATGGTTCTGGAAAGTGCTCCAGCCCTTGCTACAAAAAATGCTGAACTTTTGCCCGTTGTTTTTTAACTTTCTTCTTCACTGAAATGGCTTGTTAGAAAATGAGTTTTAGAAAACCTACATGATGATTCTGCCTTTGAGTCATGCAGTATTAAATGATTAAGGCTGATTTGTCTCTGAGGAAGCTACTTTCTAAAGGAACTCACTTCAGAGACAAATCAATTCTTAATCTGCTTCGTGAAGAGGCCCAAAACCACTTTTCAACCTGAAGGAATGTGTAATGCATTTTCCAAAGAATACCTTAATAAAATATAAGGTGGAGTGTGAGATAAAACAGGAGGAGAGGGAGATAATTGGCTTGGGTTTGTTTCACATGATGGCAGCTTATCTTTCTAACTCTTGATCAATATAGGAGAAACTGTGTGGATCTCGGGCCTTTACTATGTATCAGATCAAAGTGCAGGATCTTTGTGCTCTCTTTTGTCCCTAAGAGCTATTGAGTCCAATCCCGTCTCCTTTAGAGGCCCGCAAGAGCAGGAAAGCAGGAGAGTTTATGAAGCTAGACTTTGAGCAGGGTCACATGGTGATGATGGTGTTTGCAGAAGCTGCTAAAGTGATTGCTAAATTGTGGAGCATTTCATGTGTGTTTGTTAAGACTCTAACAGTAATGCGCAGTCACCCTGAACGGGGACATTTGCAACACTGAAGGGTGAAAATTTAAAAAGCATCCTTTTCAAATGGGCTGGAATTGCCAGAAAAGACTAACAAGGAGGATTACTGGCCTACGAGGGGTTAATTTATCTTTCTGAGAAGCCACGTAAATCAGTGCTGTATGCGGCTAACAGGAATAGCTGCCTGCTGCACTCACCAGACAAATCGGATCTAAAAATCTTCCAAAGGGGGTTTTTCCTTTCCGCCTTCATCCCGTCCCCAACAAACAGAGAACGCCCTCCCTCCTGGGTCTGTCCTGTCTCCAACGATACCAAAATCTGCACCCCACACACCTTTACCTGTCCCTGCTGCCGTGTGGAACTCCAGCTCACCTCCTGTCCCTCCACCTGTCCTGCAATCTCTGCGGGGCACTGATTCTGCACGAGGGTGCTGAGGGCACTGTGCAGCCTTGGGATTCACCCGTGGGGCTTTCCAGGAGTGTAGCACCCCATGGCCCAGCTGGACATTCAGGGGTGCTGGATGTTTACTGGTGTGAGCACAGCCGGGGCCACAATAGCCTCCAGGCTCCCTTCGGGGCAGTGCGTCAGAAGCAGGCACCTGTTGGCAGATCACAGTGCCCCAGTTGTGAGGAACTATGTTCCTGTAAGTATAGATGTTATCCAGTTACCCTGAAACCATCCTTTAGCTGGGTTAGGAGGAAACAAAATGCTCACTTACGACATCCAGCCAATACAGCTGCAGAAGGTTGCAAAAGACGTAGGTAAAGAAATCTTGTCTTAGTCTCCTTAAATTAAGATGAAAATGAAAAGATCGGTCATCTGTGCAGGCTTTCCTGCCACGTGTTCACCTTCTTCCACATGCCATGGGGGCTTGTTTGCATTCAGAGGGAATCCTCTCCTAGTGAAAAGGCTCATCTTTCCAACCATCTTTCCAGCTTTCCCTGAGGTTATTTGGAAGGTCTGAATTATGGACAGCCTCACCTCTTTGGCAACACAACCATCTCTTTGCCAGAGCAGAGCTATTGCCTGCATGTGAATGGCCTCCCAACAGCAATATGTCCCTTCTCAAGCGCTGAGCTGACAAATAGACTTGAAGAAGATGTGTCCGTGGGGCTACTGCATGCCCGTGGCTATTGGCTCGCCAGGATGACAGAGAGTTTGGGAGTCTGACCCTCAAAAACTACCTCCAAGGGATGCCCTAAGTGCCACTTCCCCTTCCTGCACTCCAGGTCTGTGTCTGTAAATCAGGACACCATGAACAGAGCTGCTCGCCACCCCTCCTATTGCTAGCTAGTGCACCACAGTTTGGGAGAGGTGCAAACCTGGACATCCTGAGTGACATGCAGTGAAGGAGCCAAGTTACCACGTCAGATGAGAAAGTCTCCTATCAAAGACAGACTCAGACCAGGAATTGAACCTCAGGCTCCTACTTTGCCATGCACAGCTTCATTTCCACCCATGACACCTAGACTGTGGTTAAGCCTTCGTCAACAGGCCCCCAAATTTGTTGGACTGAGAGGTCACTGTCAAACCTCAAATCTTCTTTCAGTTTTTTGTGCATATTCATCATCGAATTTTCAATTAAGAACACACTAAGCCTAACATTCAATGTTGTTGTGTGCAGCATTTGTATTTTCCCTGACTGGGTCCATATGGTCCACAGTTTGGAAAATGCTCATCTTCATTACAGATGCATGAATTGCACTTCTCTTCTGTTTTGCCCGTTACAGAAAACATGGTTCCCACCCAGTGGGAGCCATGCATTCATGTATCACTGTTTACCTACATCTCTGCTATGTCTCTGGTTTCTAGGGTGAGCTCAGGACTATTTTTGGACCCCAGGGCTATAAAGGCAGTAAAGGAGATCCCGTAAGTTTGTATCTCTTTGTCTTTTAAAGCTGTCCCTTCCCCACTGTTGGTGGCATCAGCTTGGTATGTTCATGAAGTGCTGTAGTTTCTGTCTGCTTTACTGATGCTTCCTGGTAACCCCTGTCATCCACACCCTGAGCTGAATTTCTAGGCATTTGTACAGCTCTGAAGTGGGAGGACTGCTGTAGCCAGCTGCTCCCTCTGAGGGCTAGTTAGCAAACCCAAACCAGATGTGGCTTCAGGAGTCACTGAGAGCATATAGAGTCTTTCAGCTCTGGGTGAATGGCCTTTGCAAAAGGAGAGCTAGAGAGTGGGCAGAAAATGGGAAATAAATCCAGGCCAACTGGCTCCTATTCCCAGATATCTGGTTGGTTTGCTGGGTAATCTCAGGAGCAGCTCCAGCTTACCACTCTTGGTGTTTGCCCACTGCAGTACAGGGAGCACATTTAGGAGTGCTGACAAGGGCAGAACAATTTCTGCCTTTGGTCACCTGGATGAAACAAGATGGACAGGGAGGCCTGTCCCTAGGAGAGAGGTGACCCGGGCTGTGGGTAGGCTTTCCATCATGAGACAGACACCATGTGTAATGGCTGCAACATGTAGACCCCACCCTGACCAGCAGGAAGCAGCAGAGATGTCTGTAATGGCTGTGCCATCTTTTTTAGGGCAAGCTCCCATGACAGCTATGTTATTCCTTGGCCCTCAAGCACAGCTTGGGATATGTATTACAAAACAGCACTTTGGTCTGGAGCTAGTCACTGAGAGCAGGTCCTTCCAGGAGGGAGGTGCAATCCACTAATTTCTGTCTTGTCTTTCAGGGTGAACAGGGCTTGCCAGGTTTTGATGGAGACAAAGGCGAGAAGGGAGAGGATGGGCCTGTAGGAGAAAAGGTATGAACCTCCTGAAAAGACCGAGACACAGCAGAGAGTCACTTGCTGTGTGCCTTTCTGAGGAAAGGACAAATATCCCTGCATCCACCTTTCTCATGTGCTCCTAGAAAATCTGGTGCAATGACACACTAGCCCAGTTATTCCCATGGGAGGGGAAAGGATGCTGCTGGGCTGGGGCTTGTGAACACACTGAGTTTACTTGATACCAAGATTGTAGGATCACGTAAAATTGGCATCTGCAGTATAGGATCACTATAGGAAAAGTTTGCAGGCTGCCAGTCAATTACTGCAGCACTGTGACAGTCCCGTATCCCCATCTCCCTCCCTCCAATGCTTATTTACACACTGAGCTAGTTCTGCAGCTCTTTTGCTAAGGCTTGGTTTGCTCTTCTGTTCCTGTCCAGAGCTACTCCTCATGCAGGTCTGTCTCCATGTGTGGTGGTAGAGCAAGCCACCTGCTTTTCTCTCTCTTTCTTTATTCTTTGAACGTAACCTGTGGAGGTTTCAGTTCTCAGCCCATCACTTCATTGGGAGGAATCGCATAATTTTCCCACTCTCCAACTGAGTCACAAACTAAATCTCCATGTACTAATCATCCCTACTTTCATATTACGTTAATGCATTTTGCTCTAGAAGTCTGACCCCAGAATGGGACTCAACTGAATAATATAGGTGTCTACAACAGCAGCATCTCATTCTGAGCTAGACGTCCAGCTCCTGTTATTCCCAGCAAAGAACTAGTCTGAATAATCAAGGTATTTCATGGTGGGAGTCACCTGACCCACGGTGGGCGTCTCTTTTGCTAAGGGACAAATTGTATCCTGTCCACTACTGATTGGGCTGACTAAATTTCCGGTAACTGCAAGGGAGACTCAAGCAGCTGCTCCCATAAGGGTGCCCACTCTTTAAGTCAGAGGAAAACCCACACAAGATGTTTGATGTCAGACTGCCCTCTAAAAAAAATGGTATATAAGCATCTCCTAAAGCAACAGCCCCTCTTGGCAGAACATCTGAGTGATTTTGGACTAAGCCCCAAAGTAGTATCTTCACCACTCGTAAGTCAACCAGAGTCTTGCACTGCTTCTTCAGTGTCCACAAGGAGGAAGAGGGCATCCAGAGGGTGTGGGCCCCCTTTCTGCTTCTTTTCCTTCAGTCCGCATTGCTGGGCACTAATTCTGTTACAGGACAGCATACTGCAGTTTTTACCAAGCTGTTCTGCAGCCCAGGGCTTTCTTTCCTGGCAATACTGAGCACTGGCTGCTGTACAGACCTTTGGGATTCCTGAGGATAAAGTTTGCTATAGAAATGGTGCTTTTTGTCATTCTGCCATCTCCATGGGTTCCTTATTGGTCTCACTTAGGAGGGTCACTCTGAGAGCAGTAGGTACCAGAGATGTATTTAACATAGAATTTAAATTTTTAGGGAGTCAAAGGTGAAGCTGGCTCCAAGGGTGTGATGGGGCTTTTTGGAACAAGAGGACCAGTGGGACAGAAGGTGAGTACAGTGAGCTCAAAGAGCCTCAAAGCTTGCGTTAAGGCATGCTCTGCAAGAATTGATGTGCAAAATCCTTTCACAGTTTCCTCATGGAGTGTAATTCTACATTCCCTCTCTGAAATTCCTGATTAAAATGTTATTTTGTAAAGGCAAAATGTTATGAGGCTACCAGAAATCAGAAGTAGGGGTGCTTTTCATTTTGTAAAGGAGCAGAGTGCTCTGGCGCCTTTCCTGAGCTAAAATAGACACAATGACTTGTTGAAATGTCAACATGTGAAATGTCAGGTGAGAACTGGTGCCTAAGTGACTGTTACAGTCAACAGAGATATAGGAGTCCATTCAGCTGTCCACACAAAAGTGCCATCTGAAATATTTGGGGATCCTACCTGCCCGTCTCCAGTTACTTCTGCAGAGGGGCCCCCAAAGGTCCTTGTGGCTTATCTTCCACAGTGGCATCAAGCTGTAGGTGTCTCCTTTCAGATACCGGACAGCTCTTCTTGCTAGGAAGGCACAAGTGGTTATTTGCTAAGTGGTGCACTGAAAGAAAAGGCAGCTCTTCCTCCCAGCTAACTCACCACTGCTTTCCTTGCAGGGGGAGCCAGGAGAACCAGGCCTGCCGGGTGCTGCCGTGAGTTGGAGCGTCTTTCTCGGACTGCCTTTGCAAGTCTTGGGTGCTAAGCGTCGGGTTTGCGCCACTGATCACCTCCCTGTGGCCGTGGCCGTGTCTCACGTGTGGGTCATGGGAGGAGCTGATGCTGGCTTTGCGCTGCTCAGCAAGGCCCAAGTTCACAGGGGCTGTGCTGGAAAACCAGCCGTGGGCAGGGGTGGCCAGAGCCAGAGGGATGTTTTAATAGGATTTTGCATTTTGCATCAGAGAACACCTGGAATATGCATTTAGTTATTACTTTTTAATGCCTTTAGTGCATTAGGGGACATCAATGCCTGGCATGAACGGAGGAGGTTTCCCGTTCAAATGCCTTAACAAGACTTGTGACTGTGGGTCGTATATGCCGTAAGAAATGTATACATCCTTAAGCAGCTGGACTGCAGACTGGACTTTAGTGGCTAGTCATAGCGTTCAGTGTGTGCGTGCCGCTGGCCAGAGGGAAAACAGTTATGCTAAAGGTCCTAGATAGTCTCGTAGTTCACCCTGTTTTCTGGCAAATTGCAACTGAAAAAAAGCAATTTCATCTTTACTGAAATGCTTTGCAAAAGCATTTAGGTGCCTCTGAACTTTCCCATTTCATCTGGTGGAAACTCTAAGTGAAAAATGGTCTCTGAAGATGTTCAAAGTACAAAGCTCCTCCTTTGGTTTCTTTTCCCACGTGAGAGGAAGGAATAGGAGAGGAGGGAACACCAGAATGCAACTGCAATTTTTCTCAAGTCATGGAAATATGGGTGTGTTCATTCCTTTCTGGAAAAAAAAAGAAACTGAATTTTTGGCAAAGGAATTATTTTATTGCAATAAGAAATGTTGGTATTTTTCTAACCTATTCTCCAGTTATGCCTCTTTCTGCATGAACATTCAATTCTCAGCAACTAGCTGTTGCTAGGAAGGCTCCATGGCCATTCAATGCTGCCCGCTGATTACCGATCACGGGTTTGCAGCTCTGTACAAGCCTGTAATCCAGACCGGTAATTGTTCACGGAGGAAAAGACCCCTTCAGTTAAGTGTTTCAGCCCATGCTTAACTGTAAACAACCTTCTGAGCACTTTGCCAAATGCGTGATGAAGCAGGCGTAATGTGCCATAAGAAATTTGTTTGCTACGGTCCCAGCCGGGATCACCGCATGTAGTCCTTAGATCAAGTGCATTTCTGAAGCAGCTTTGTAGTGTACACCTGGATCCGCAGACAATTACCAGTAGCGTTGAAATACAGTAGTGTAGCGTTAGGTCGCAGGTGTTATTTTTTTTTTGGCCTCCCGAGGGAATTCGTTATCCAGCCAGCAATCTCATCATCTAGCTATGTTTGGAAGATACAGTGTTTTCTTTTGGCACTACAGGGATCAGCACATAATATAATTAACTACCAGAAATCAATATTTTGTCAATATTTGAGAAAAGTAATCCTTCTTCAATTAATTTTTTAAGTCTATCCCTGCTATGTTTGGAGCAAGGCTGAGACAACAAAGTTTGATTTTGGCCCTTCCTTAAACTGCTATAATTGCAAAACTCAGAGCAGAGCTGGGGCTTTGACAGAAGAGCCGTGATATATGACATCCTGGATGAAATTCATCTGACTTAACGTTAGATGTCTGCCATGTTCACTTTTCACATCTGAGCTAGCCAGACTCAGACTTGTTTTATAGTCAGCTTTAGGGTACTCTCAAAGCATGATTCACAGCATCTATTTTAGACACCTGTGTTAGGGCAAGACATCTTGATGTAACTTGCTCTCCACAAACCCAGGTTGACAGCATCTAACTTTATCTTTCAAGTGCTCACAGATAGTTTGATTATTTGTTCCCAAGTTATTCCGGAGAGGGAAATTAAGCTGTCTAATCTATCAGCCCCCAAGTCCTCTTTTCCCCCTCTTCTTGAAGACAGATGCTGTTTGGTCTCGTCTAATCTGTCCTCTGCATGGTCTCAAAGGGAATGGCTAGTGGTTCTCATTTTCCTTCAGCTCCCTCTAATTCCATTTTTCATATTAACAAACTGCCACCAGCTCACTGCAAAAATTTCCTGGTTCCTTTCTGTTCTGCTGAATACTCTCCAGCTGATATATGGGGAGACAAACCACCACATATTACTCTGAATAATGTAACCAGCCTTTGAATAGTGTCATCCATTTTTGCTCTTATGATTTGGGGACCTACGGGAGTCCCCAACTAAGTGACAGCATTTGTGTCTTTTCCCTATAATCATTGCCCAGAGAATTTCAGTGGATCTGGTCGACTTTACCTCTGGACCTCAGAGCAAGTGAGCGCACTCTTGATATTCCAGGCACCTCCTCCTCCTTTTTCCTCTTCTTTAAAACACTGCACTCTTTTACATTAATATTCCTGCCATGCAGCGCCCTTTGATATTAATATTGCAACCTGTGTTATGCCTATAAAGTTACAATCTTGATCATGTATTAAGGCTTCCAGCTCTTATTCTTTATTTCCCATATTTCTTATATTAATATGCAGACATTTAAAATGTGCAGCGGATTAACCTATTATTCTCCCCCTTGTTCCTAAGGCCCTCTTGTGGATACCTGTCTCCCCTTGTCTTGCCTTTACTCCCTGTTTTGGGTCTATAATTGCCTGTGTGCCTTGGCCTTCTCCATCCTTATCTGCAGTCCTCCTCACTAGGTTCACAAGTTGGGCCTCAGAGATGTTCTTCCTCTTCCCTTATGAGCTGACCTCTGTATTTGGCCAGCAGCTTTTGGATATTTGCCCTGTAGTTGAGGAAGTTGTGGTCCGTATGGTAATACCATCTATACAGCCATGCGGTGTCCCGCTTAAGCTTGCCTGGAAGGATGGAAGACCCACCAGGCCCTTAGACCTAACACTTTTGCTCTCAGAACAATTTCTGACATGCTTAATTCTTCAGTGCTTGCAACCAGATTTGCCAGAGCACGTCTGTCAAGGCCGGGGTTGGAAAAGAGCCTTCAGCATGATGGTGAGGGGCAGGATGAGAGAAATCCAGCACCTTTTGGTCCATGCTGATTGTTACGAGGGATGGAGTTTGCAAGGCATGAAAATGAAGCCTGAAGGCAAAGCAAGAAGGGAGAACAAGTCAGGGAATTCTGGTTGACGCTCGGACAACGAGATGCTGAATGTGTCCAGTGTAGGAAGGCAGACAGGTAAAGGCCACTGTTCTGCCGGCAGTATACAGAGCAGTGAAACAGCCTGAACCAGAAAGTGAGCTGGGGAAGGTAGCTCTAAGCCCAGAGCTCTGTGGGTTGTGATAACTAAGGGATAATCAAGGGCCTATAACTCTGCCTGCTGAGCAGTGGGCTGCTTCAAGCCAGAGGAGAGGAAAGGTGTGGTGCAGGAGTCTGTCTTAACAGCACCAGATTAAGGACTTGGCAAGAGGTGCCTCCGGCCTCTCAGAGTGAAAAATGTTGGGTTGTCTCCTGAGACGTTCATGCCCGAGGAGGGTGTCCTGGTATGTCTGAATACTCCTGAGGAGGCCAGGCCCATCAGGGAGAAGCAAGTCAGCCAGACCCAGGACCTTCTGGACACAAGTAGAAGGCCTAGACACCTGTCTCTGCCTAGACACCTCGGAGGGTTTGCAGCAGGGTAGTCAGGCGGATGCACCTCTGAGATGTGGTGCCAAGGAACAAAAGCTCGCTACAGCTGTGAGGAGCACCAGCAGCTCCCACACCAAGACAGGACAGGGTCTCTGGGGAGAAGGCCCAGGACTGTAGCAAAGAACCTTAGGCAGGATGGTCTAGACATAGCAGACAGGTGGGAACGGAAAAAAGGACAGATGTAGGAACTTGTAGGCTGAGATTCCCAGCTGCTGCAGATGTATCATACCATCAGATATTGAGCGCTGACACCGAGCAGGTGGGTAACCCTTTAGCAACCAAATCTATGGCTTGGAAAGGCATTATCTGTTTGATTTATGTCTTCCCTGCTGCTTCAAACAGATTGATCCTTTGGGGGCGCACCACTAATGTATCACGTTTCCATTGGTAGGTTTCACGCTTTCCCGAGGTGACTGAGCTAATTCTCCAGGTTGCTTGTTTAATGGAAATGATGTGCCTGTTAGTGCAGGCTCCTCCCAAACTCCAGCCCCAAGCTTTGCAGGAATTTGTGCCTGGAAGCAAAGATCCTCGGCTGCTCAAAGACGTCTTTGCGTCACGGCCAGCGCTCAGGACTTATGACTAAGCCTCTGCATTGCCATGACTTTGTGGTACCTAGCGTCTTTGCAGACAGATGAAGCAACACTTTAATAATAGAATCCAATAACAGAAGCCATTTCCAGTACTCCACCAATAATTGCCTTTAAACAGCTGTTTTACTAGCTTTTATTGCCCTGCCTTTATTTGCCTGGAGAAACATAATATGTAAATCTCAGGGAATAAATTTCCATTCAGCTTCTTTCCCCTGCCCTGTGCCCAAACATTTTCGTCTTCCTCAGTCATTTCTTGCTGTTTGACTTTTTTTCTTTTTCTTTCCCCTTTTACCTCTTGACCCTTTTCAACCACCATTTTCTTTTCCTGAGTGCAGATGGCCTTGAAAAGCATCACCTTTCCAGCACCCCCAAATGAGGTGCTTGCTTCAGTCAGCTGAAGTGGGGAAAGACTCACTGTCATGCACAAGCCTTGCTACAAAACACCTGGACCATAAGGCAAATCTCTTCAGTCTGTGATGGATGAGAGTCCACCAATGGTGAAGTAACACTCAGATCAAAAGCTTGCTTATACATCCTGGAGCGAGTGGGCGTGGCTGAGACCCAGCACCTTATCTTTCAGCTTGGCAACACATATTGTGTGCTTAACTTTTCCTAAAACCAAGGGAGGGCAAGAAGCAGAGGAGTCTTGACCTCTCTCCTCCACCACTGTGACTGCTGAGGACCATCTTTTGGGAAATGGCATTGGTGGAGCTGACTTTGCCTTGGGGCCACCTTCCAGCTGTATGGTCTATGGTGCCTGTTTGCAGAGCAGTGTCTGTAACTGGCTGCCTTCCTGAGGGCTCTCGGTGCGCTCAGCATCTGCTATTGGGCTCTGAGCACACCTAGGGGATGGAGACCCTGCCAGGATGTCAGTGGGTGGACACCTCATTTGGTATCACAGCAGTGTTGGCATCAGAGAGCAGCGCTGAGTCTCACTGCAACCCACTCCGAGTCCCTGCCAGGACTGAATTCAGGTGCTGGAGGAATATTCAAGCCAATTGGGAAGCCTCTAGCTAGCATCAGGGTCCTTCAGAACCAGACGGTGCTCAGGAATAGGCTTTCTCATGCATCCCCTTGGATGCAGGTGTGTAAATCCCTGGCCAGCTGGATCTGTACCCAGCTTGAAGCTTTCTCAAAAATATCAAGCACTATAAGGTGTCCTGGGCTTCTGAGATTTAATCATCCCCCAAAAGGTTTATCAGCCTCCAAACAAGGGGAGCAATTCCTAGCGATTCTTAGCAAACAGGAAACTCTAGTTAGCTGGTTTGTTTTTACAGTCCATTTACTTCCTCAGCCGGAACTTCGTATTGATCATGTCAATAAGTAGTCTCTAGTAAATAAAGAGCATGCACTAGATGTTTGTGCCTGATAGTACAGGCAGTGCTTGAGGGACCATGGACTTTGACTGATCCAGAAATGACTGGCAGAGCCAGGTAGGAGGACCCAGCCTGCTTTATAGCAGCTCTCAAATACTGCTCTTACTCTGAAATGTAAAAAGTGGCAGAAGTTTGGGGAGGGGATTGAGAAAAAGCTGAATTTTTACATACAAAATGAAGAGGTGAAGGGTCTATCCTCACAGACTGACCTGTCAGCAGAGACAACGCTGTCTCACCTATGTCTCTCCAAGCTTGTCACTGTCATCATATTTAAAGTACTCATTCCTCACTGAGAACAGGAGTAATTGGAGAGGTGATGGGCCTTCTTGACATACAGATCTGGCAGCTGATTTTTTTTTAAATAAATGTATTTCCTTTCAACAACCTACTGCAAATTAATTCAAAGTAGAGAAGGCCACTTGTTCATCTCCAGTCTGCTTAAATAGCCAGTACACTCTTCTCCGAGTAAACTGAGCTCTGTGCACTCAGTGTCTCTGGGGCAGGGATAAATCCAACTTCAGCTAACATCCAGGTTCTGAATATTGCAGTGGAAATTGGCCAGAATAAATCGGTAGACCATAGCAAAGTCAAGAGCCTTGGGAAAAAAATGAACATTCCTAGTAACTTTTCGCCCAGCCGTGATTGCTTCATCCCCTTTGCTCTCATGTATAGACAAGTCTTAGTGCTAGCATTAGTGTCGCTTCTGATCTCTGGCTACAGAAATGTGCAACCCCGGCTCTTATTGCTCAGTTTCCATCCCAACTACTGTCCTCAGTCATCTCTCTGTATCAGCTGCCATGGAAATGAATTTTGCTCCTCTTTATGGCAGGGCACGGCAGGCCTAGATGGGAAGAATGGAAACAAAGGAGCCAAAGGTGACAGAGGTCTGCAGGGACAAAAGGGGCAACCGGTGAGTAGTGAGGAAGGAAGGAGTGTGTTTGGAAGACAGAATGAGGCTCTGTTCCTTTTCTTCATAGTTCATTTCTCCTTCCACACCTTATGTTCCTCATTGCTGGAGGCAGGTTCTTGCTCAGGGTGAGTCTTTCCAAAAGAGAGATGAAATTGTGCCTAAATCTCTTGGAGAGGTTTCTGATGCACATCTTGGACCAGTTCTAGGTGGTAACAGTCTCTGGACATCTCTGTCTGCCAGCAGAGAATATCTGTCTACGTCTCTTTAGTGACAGAGCAAATTTTCCCATGTCTGATTTAGCCCTATGGCGTGAGTTTTCCTTTGTTACTTGCCAATTTTCAAGTTCCTTCAGGTACCAGGTCCACCTCCTCCCAACACTGACCTGACTGATGCAGAGAGCAGGGAACAAAGCAGTCATTTGCTAAATCCCTGATGGAACCAGCCTTCCTGGGAAGAGCTTGGTTGCTGCATTGACTGGGTCCCTCCCTGCCCCAGAAAAAGTCCCCATGCAGGATGGAGCTTGGGTCCCTTATTACTGAAAACACATCTCCAAAATAGCTCTTGGTGGGAACATGTCTTCATGCTAGTTTCTAGATACAAGCTGAAATCTATTGGTGTTTTTTCTTTTTGCTTTCCCACTAAGCAAAAACTAGTAGAAGATTTGGGGAAGGAGCAGGTGAGGAAGTTCTCACTTAAATTAATGGACATCCCCCAGATCATTCAGGTAGTGACTGAAGGAGCCAGGTCCCATGTCAGATGTTGAATGACAGATTCCAGTTTCAGATCAGTCTAACACGAAGATCTCCAGAGATCCCTTCCAACCTAAACCATTCTGTGATTCTAACACAGGAGCTGAGGGAGAATTTTTAATGCCGCCGGAGTGCAGCTCCTCACGGTCGTTTCCACTCCACTAATTCCTGAACCGGAGTAATGTTCTCTCCAAGATTCAGGTCTTGAAGGGTCGTTTTTCAAACATTGCCCAGCAGACTCACAGAATGGCCAAGGTTGGAAGGGACCTCTGGAGATCATCTAGCCCAACCTCCCTGCTCTAGCACGGTCCTCTAGAGCACATTGTCCAGGATTGTGTCCAGGCGGGTTTTGAATATCTCCAGGGATGGAGACCCCACAACTGCTTTCTTCCAGTGCTCTGTCACCCTCACAGGCAAGAAGTTTTTTCTCAGGTTCAGGTGGAACTTCCTGTGTTTCAGTTTATGCCCGTTGCCTCTTGTCCTGTCACTGGGCACCACGGAGAAGAGTCTGGCCCCATCCTCTCGACACCCTCCCTTCAGATACTTGTAGACATTGATGAGATTCCCCTCTCAGTCTTCTCTTCTCCAGACTGAAGAGACCCAGTTCTTTTAGCCTTTCTTCACAGGAGAGATGTTCCAGTCCCCTACTCATCTTTGTAGCCCCCTGCTGGACTCTCTCCAGCAGTGCCATGTCTCTCTTGTGCTGGGGAGCCCAGAATTGGGCACAGTACTCCAGGTGAG